CGATTTCAAAATGAAACCCCGCTGTACTGTACAGGACATTATACGGAGAGTAATAATTACCACAGTCTGTAAAGTGCTCCCTCTTCTGCCTGTTTGACCACAGACTTCCTAGCCACTGGGTGGAGTGAGAGAGCCACACAGATGCAAGGCTAATTGATGAAGTTTGTTCTCTGCCTTCTTACCAGGGAGGACACACATTACAGGGTTTGGTTCAAAGGGTGCACTCCACCCTCCCCAACTTCCTGGGCTTTAATCTCAGGCTGTGAGGAACCCCCTGGCAGAGTGTAGACCTCTCTTTCTACACTGTTATCAGCAGGAATGCCCGTTCTTTTACAAAAACACAGGGGTAGCACTCAGTGTTTGTGAGGACCAATGAATGCTCAGTGGATACGTGAGTTAAGGAGCTCACCACCCAAAGGAATATCCTTTTATCCCGTTTACAGATGAGGCAACCGAGGCCCTGGGGGGGGGGGCCTGGGAACTTGCCCACTCTCCCTGGAAGTCAGAGGCAAGGCCAGGCCCAGCTCCTGCCCTGCTGATGGCAAAGGCACGTGGAATCACACTGCCCGGCCGCCCATGGCAGGCGTCCCAGGAGACTGCAAGCCAAGCTGCTTATTTTTACTGGAGGGAACTGAGGCCTCCAAAGTCCACGGCTGGCTCAGTTAGTTACCCAAGGCAGGTCCCGGCCCCAGGTCAGAGCCCCAGGTTCAGGCCTCCAAGTCAGGGCTCCAGGTCAGGAATCCCAGGTCAGGGCTTCAAAGAAAAGCTCATTCCAGACCATGCGTTCTTCATTCGTAACAGAAACCACTGCTGACAAAAGCTAACAAGCTCCCCACAGAATGTGGCTGTTCAGCTGACCTGGAGTCTGAGAGGAGAGCAATCCTGTGCCCGGCTGGGGAGCGCTATTCTGAGATGGCCAGTGGACTCCTGTCATCATGAAGTGCCGGGAGCAGAGGTGGGGCACAATCCTTCATCTTTCCTGGTTTGTAATGTAGGACAACACAACTCTGGGACAGTCCTAACCTTGGTGTGGGCTGCTGGTTCCCCAAAATCACATAAGTGCATGTCCTTGGCATGACTGTGCTGAGAACCCTTATCAACAAGATGCTGCTCCCACAGGAGGCGGGAAAGAAACAGCTGGGATCGGGGCGTGTTGAAAGCTCTCCTGCTCCCCCTTTGACAAAGGCCCCAGGTGCCTATAACAGGACAGGCCCGGTGCTGAGAGAGCAGGGTCCCAGGTCACCAGGGCTGCTTTAGCCCACAAAGCTTTGGGGGCAGTCTGCTATTTGAGCTCATCTTGATTCTAAACGTGCAATTCCCCATCACCGGGGACACTGGGTGGTGAAAATATTTCTGAAGGTTCCAGAAGCCTTGCTGTCAGGAAGTCCTGATGCAGAAGCAGATTCTAGTAGGACCAACACTTGTGAACACTGTAAATATATTATCTTGTATTGTTACATCTTCTTTCTTTCTCTTTTATTTCCCAGCCGCCTAGTAACTGAGATCATTTCTTATATTTCTATACATCCTCCTTCATGCCCAAAGCTCAGTAACCTGCATACAGTGTTTAGTATATCAATTAACCAATTAAAACCCCACAGGCACATACTTTGGAGGCGCACTAACTTAAAAGATGCAAATCTGATTGTCTAACAACTTAGAAATGTCAACACTTCCAGCAGCGCGGGCAGACCTCTGACACAGCCAAGAGAGAGCAGTGAGGGAGATGACCGTGGACGTGGTATTTAGCGTGTTTCAGCATGTTTATTTTCCATGTACACACGACAGGGATATGCTCAGTGTCAGAGGTCATTTCCTTCCGGAATACTGAGCACTGTGTGAAAAAGAGAACTGCTCCTTCTAGTCTTTGGGGAAAATGAAAGTGGGGTAGCTTTCTTTCCTAGGAACGACCCTAAAGCTAAGAACCACGGACCTCTGCCGACAACACGGCGCAGGGAGGTCACAGGACAGAGGGCACCAGGCACACACTCACTGTGAGTCCTTTTCCAGTGGCAGACACTAGTCTGGACACCTGCTCTCCTCTGCAGACATGGAGCTGACTGGTCGAACCCAAGGGCCACTGGCCACTCTGCCCTGAAAGGTGGACACAGCCCTTTACTGTGAGCTACACTTCCGCTGAGGCAGCAGCTCCTTGGTCAACTGCTTACGTGATTGTCACTGGAATCGTTCTGCTGCCTTTACTGTATTAAGGAGATTTCATTCATGCAGATGTTTGAACGTCCACGTTAAACTTTGCCAACTGGCGCTTGTGCTATTTTTGTCATCATTATTTTCTCTTGTCATCATTATTTCTATCAGGTCTGCCTGGTCCTGGTGGGAGTTTGTGAGGCAGCGTCTCAGAGGGAGGAGCAGGGAAGAAGGTGAGAGGAGGAAGGGGCACTAGAAGCAGCCGAAGAGACCAGCGCTGCATCTGTGCTGGGGTCTCGCCCTCACGGTATGGAGACACCCAGGGGCCACATCCCCCATGGGGACCCTGTCTGCGGAATGACGCACCAGCGGGGAACGTGGGGAGACCAGCTGTCCTGGGATGATGTGCAGAGATCTGCGCCCGGGCTGCTTGGCACTGTGCTCTGAAGTCAGTGATGGTGCCCACAGGCCTGTTGCTAGTGCTCACATTACAGGGCCTGTTTTTGCTTCTCTGCTGCAGTGGCTCTCTAAGTGGGGTCCCCAGAAGCCAGGGGAGGTCAGCCCCTGCATGAAACATGATTTTGTTGTAGTAGTAATGATAAAATGATCATATTAAAAACCATGATACTTTGTTGGCACTGGCACTGATGGTGGGTAAAGTGCCAGCCGCTACCAAAGCAGCGGCACCAGCCTGTGCTAGTCCTGCTCCCCCCCCAACACTTGCCGTACAGGGTGCATTTTTCAAGTTGGGTGTCCTTAATGAACAGTAAGAAGTATTAATTTTTCTAAGTCTCAATCCTTAGGTACTAATCTCCCAGGCTCAAGTTCAGGGGGAAGTCCACACGCGCTGCACCCTAAGCTGTGAGTCTTCCGCATGACACATATGAGCTGCACACTGAGCTCTGGGGCCTCCATAGGACAGCAAGCGGCTGGGCTGTGCCAGGAGTACGAGGCCCCTGCCCCGGGCCCAGGCCGGGGAGAACAGGACGCACTGTGCTGGTTCAGACTGTGCTCTGGCAGACGGTATAGAAAATGGGGGAGAGCCTGTCACCTTCAAAAAAACAACCGACTGTTCTGTGGCTGATGATAAACTTTGTACATTTTTGTGGAAATTAGAATTCTGGAAAACTTGCATGTACCATCTTGAAAGTACGTGCAAGCTTCTCTGATGAGAATGGTGTTTCCTTGATTTTAGGGAGAGGAAGGGAGAAGGAGAGGAAGAGAAATATTGATGTCAATTGGTTGCCTCATGCACACCTACCAGCAACCTGCAACCCAGGCATGTGTCCTGATTAGGAGTCAACCTGAGACCTTTTGGTACATGGGACCGTGTGCTCAACCAACTGAGCCACACAGGCCAGGGCGAGGATGCTGTGATACTAACAACTGTGGAACTTTTTTATACTGTATGCTGAAATGTGTCAACCTTTAGATCTGCATAATCCAAAATGCTCCATATGATCACTGCATGACATTACAAACCACGCATGCATAAAATCCACTTTATGCGCAAGACAGACCAACGGACTTCAATAGAATAGAATATGAAGAGTTCATTAAAATCATTTCAGATTCCACACAAAATAAATCTTCAATAAAGAAACTATTGCTTATAGACTTTAATGGAGCACCAAAGAATATTCAAAATTATATGAAATGATTATTAAAAACCCCTCCCTTTTCCAAATAAATAGCTCTATATGAGGCCAGGTTTTCTTCATCTAATTCAACTAAAACAACATATTGCAACAGATAAAATAAAGCAAATATTAAACGACATATTAAAGAGATTTCAAAAATGTAAAACAATGCTGCTATTCTTATTAAAAATTTAACAAATTTATTTTTCATAAAATATTTGCTACATATATTTATATATAAAAGAAATAATATAGCCTGGCCTGTGTGGCTCTGTGGCTGAGTGTCGACCGTCCACCTATGAACAGGGAGGTCATGGCTGGATTCCTATTCAGGGCACATGCCTGTTTGCAACCTCCATCCCCAGTAGGTGTGCAGGAGGCAGCAATCAATGATTCTCTCTCATCATTGATGTTCCTATCTTTCCCTCCTTCTCCCTTCCTCTCTGAAATCAATAAAAAATATTTTTTTAAAAGAAATAATATAAAAAATAAAATGGCCCTGGCTGGTTAGAGCCTCAGCCTGCGCACAGAAGGGCCACGGGTTTGATTTCCAGAACTAGATTGCAGGTTCCATCCCTGTCCCAGGTTGGGACATGTGTGGGAGTCACCTAATCAATGTGCTTCTCTCACATTGATGTTTCTCTCTTTCTCCCTCCCTCCCTCCCTTCCACTCTCTCTTTTAAAAACCCATGGGAAAAATATCCTTGGGTGAGGATTAACAAAAATGAAAAAAAAAATTTAACTTAATTTAAAAATACTAATTTAATTATTTAAACATATTTTTAAAGTTCCTCTTAGAAAATTATTGAATTAACCAATAAGTATTGAAATATACAACTCAAATAAGCCAGAGCTCTTTGGGTCCACAATTTTAGCAGATAAGGAGTGCTAGACCACAACCATTGCCTTCTCTCCATGAGTAACTCTTGCAGCAGCATCTCTCAAAGTGTTCCCTTCAAAACACCAATCTCACAAAATGATTCATAATAAAAGGGTTCCACTCTGAAACAAATATGGAAAATCTGAAGAATGCTAACATATGCCGTTCTTGGAGAGTTACAATCAATCTGAGCGTATTAAATGCTCACAGAATCACTGCCATGCTGACTTACTTCATCTTACTCCCGTGTTTCCTCTTGTTTTCTCAGGAAGGTGTAAGTGCAGAACGCTCTGCTCACCTCACCTGGCAGAGGGAGATTGCCTGTAACTCACCTTCAAGCCGGACCACCAGGGGCACCTTCAGTTCTAGCTCCCGGCAGGCCTTGGTGATCCCATTGGCGATGATGGCACAGTTGACAATTCCACCAAAAATATTGACTAGAATGGCTTCAACCTGAAATCAAAAGCAGAAAGATGCCCATCAAAATGCTGTTGGCCAACATTCTCAAAAATAACTGGCTAAATAATAGACACACACACACAAAAAAAAGACTTTTTAAAAAACACAACATAAAATATTCAATAAAAGGCCTAGAAAATATTATGAAAGTTAAATTTTGATGCTAAATTAATAAATATCAATATTTAATATTAGCCCATCAATCACTTCTCTGAACTCAAAATGAATCCAGTCACCACTCACTCACTACATACAGTCTTCTGCTTTTCCTCAGACACCTGTTGGAACTGTTCTTTTTAGTGTCATTTAAGAGTTCATGTGCTAATGTCTTTTCTTCCCATGGTTTACACTTAAATTTTACCTGTCATGGTGCTTCATGGAATATTTCAACATTAGAACGTTATTTGTTGTTTCATTATAATATATTAATATGCAAAGCTAGATGCTTTCCCATTCTTAATACCATTTTGATATGCTAGAGGTACCCTCTCAAAAGTCAGAGATAGCTTAATTGTCTAAGAGATACCCCAAAAAAGAAGAGATACAAGCTTAGACCACAAGTAAGGATGTAAGAAAAGTCAAGCCACTGACTGGAACTTTTCAGAAATGTAAATTCAAACCAATCATGCTAGCCTGTGCATATTTCATATTCAAAGGCGTGTGGGCAAAAAGAAAATTGTACTTGTCCTGACTTGATAAATAGGCATAAGAAAATCCTGTATAATTAACATGAAGAACATGATAATGAAGAGAATTCATTACCTAGATTAAGTGATAACACGCCCAGAAAAATGGCTATTCATCACGCGGGAGGCATCACAATCCCAACAATGGAATCACAATTAAATCAGGCTCCACTAATTGCAAAGCATGTACGAGTGCCGCATGCCAGCGCCAGGCCCGTTGTTTCCATATGCTAAATCAGCTGCACAAAGCACGCGAGAAAGGAGTGCCCCGAGTTTGTTTAGCACTTCGCTGTTTTAGAAAGCACCATAAAACGAGCCCTCATTTTTAATTGTGTTCCTTGCCAGAACACTATTCAGAATGTAAAGGGAGGGTTAGCCCTCCGTAGCTGACAGAGCCACTCAGAGAATTCACAGAATGTGCCCAAGGTCACAAAGCTACCAGGCAGCAGTGGCAAAGTTCCCAATCACTTCTCTAGGTCGCCCCCATTCTTCCTTAATGCCAGCTGTCAGAGCCGGGGCCGGGACGCACCTTGGGCAAGGTACATCCTTGTCTTGAATACGGTTACTTCATCTATACAGCGGGAATAATAGTGCTTAGTCCATCAGCTTGTTGCTTGGACTAAATGAGGTAATACATGTGAAATGCTTAGTACTTGCCTGTAAAATACTTACTGAATATGCATATGTTTATGTATATGTATATGCAGTTACTTTTTTTACTTTAAATTCCCGTCCTCCAGTTCTCCTCCCCTTTGGCAACCATCAGTTTGTTCTCTATCTATGGGTCTGTTTCTATTTCGCTTTATTAATTTGTTGTTTTCAAGATTCCACATTTAAGTGAAATTATATGATATTTTCTTTCTGCCAACTTTCTTCACTCAGCTTAATACCTTCTAGATCCCCCCAGGTTGCTGCAGATGGCGGGAATGAAAACCCTTTTTCACAGCCTACACGAACCACATCTTCTCCTGCTCATGTATTGATAGGCACTTGGGTTGCTTCCATAGCTTGGCTATTGTAAGTGATGCTGCAATCAGTGTAGCTGTGCATGTATCTTTTTGAGTCAGTGTTTTTTGTTTTCTTTGGGTAAATACCCAGAAGTGGAATTATTAAGTCATATGGCAGTGCTATTTTTAATTTTTTGAAGAGTCTGCATACTGCTTTCCATAGTGGCTACACTGTACTTGCATTTATTTCAACAAGTAATGATGAAAGTGGGCAGGCTACCTAGGCAGCAAGTAAGAATTAAAACACCTCCCAGTAAACTGCAGCTATGTTGAATTGGAATATAATAGAAAAGCAGAGTTATTGGCGTTCGGGAAGAAGGTAATGACTTAAGACTGAAATAAGTGAGCAGTATTTCCAGCCCAATTACGGGTCCCGGGGACTCTGTGCACTCGCAGCAGGCTGGCAGGACAGAAGCTGCTCCCTAATCGCAGCTGTTAAAGGCTGTTCGCACCGAGGTGCAGGCCCAGCGGAGAGCAGTGTCCAAACAGCTGTGGGATGGAGAGGAACTTGCCAGAACAATGCAAGAAAAACCCTCGAGAGCACTGCTGACTCCAGGGTCCGAGAGAGGATGGGAACCAGCATGGAGAGTGGGGAGCCAGGCCTTCCAGCTGAGCTCGCAGGGGCAGCGCATGCCTCTGCCCGCTCAGTGAAGCCGTCCTGGCCCCCAACTCGAGTGGCTTACTGCTAATCCGAACGAAACACCTATTATCCAGCTCTCCATGGAGTGCTCGCATCACAGCACACACTTCCGTGAAGCGAATTCCTGGGCATAGGCAGGAATACGGGTGTGACCAGAGGCCCAGGCAGTGACCCGTCTGCTCGGTGGTGCGTCCTGGGAGGCGTGACAGTGTGGCTACTGCCTCCTGGGCAGCCAAGAGGAAGCCAGGGCTGTCACTGCAGGTGGGGGAGAGCGGCCAGGCCGGCCGGGACCTTGGATCATTTTGCTGATCCCTTCTCTTTCCAGAGCGGGGTGAAGGCTAGTCTTGAAAGGAGCCTCCCTTGGGGTTGGAAGTGACAGGAGAGGGAGGGAGGGACAGAGAGGAGAGAGTGAGGAGACTTCAATGTGAGCATGTGCAGCAGTGGTAGGAAAGAGTGAGAGCAAGAAAGAAAAGTAGTGTGTGTGGGAGGGAGGGAGAGACAGGAGAGGGAGGGAGGGAGGGAGAGGGAGGGAGGGAGGGAGGGAGGGAGGGAGGGAGGGAGAGAGAGAGAGAGAGAGAGAGAGAGAGAGAGAGAGAGAGAGAGAGAGAGAGAGAGCGCGCGCGCCAGCGTGAGCAAGGAAGGGAGAGAAGAGGTTTTGAGTGAAACCAACAGAGCAGCTAGCAGTTTTACAGGAGGAGCCACAGGGCACAGGGGCGCAGGCTGCTCAGCTGGGCACAGGGCCCCGGAGGCACAGCCCCACAGCACCCAGAGGCATCACCCCGCATGGGAAGACCCTGTAAAGTAACGGCTGCAGCCGTTAGATGCAAGTCTCACTCTGGGCCCATTGCTCTAATTAACTACTTCCTGGGACTGGGACCTGAAACTGAGAACGGAATGAAGATGGGTGAGAATGAAAGCGCTGTGACATATTATTTAGCACCTAAAGCATGTGAGGCTTTCAATGGGAGCCTCAGGGCCCATTCATTAGTGTGTGCACTAATTGCTACAGCAACAGCGATTTGATTTGAACAGTCTTTTTCTTTTTTTTCTTGAAGAGGAGAATGTGAAGGAGCAGGTGTAGCTAATGTGCAGAGGAACGGGAAGACCTCTAGCGGCTTGGGGGACAGAGGCTTCTCCAGTCTCTGGGCCAGACCCACCAGGGCTGCTCGGTCCCCCGGGGAGGCCCCCGGAGCCAGGGGGGCGGCAGCGGGGCGGCCCCTGTCGCTGGGCTGGCTTCGTGCTCCTGCCGCAGATTTCAGTCCACGATTCAAAGTAGAGAATGAGACTCAAAAGAAGAAAAGCAACAGCAGCCTTTGGTATTTAACAAACTCCTCTCAGCTCCAAATAAACAAACCCACCAATGACAGTCATGACTAAAACCTTTTGGGGGAACATAGTAATTTTGAGTATCTGATTAGCACGATGGAACCCCTGTCAGATAAATTCACACACACAAAACCTTTAACAAGCATCTTTAACAAGTTCATAAAATGACTTATGTCTTCCCTTTTCTATTGTTGTTAATCCTCACCCACGGATATTTTTCCCATTGATTTTTTTTTTTTTTTTTTTTTTTTTTAATAGAGAAGGGCAGGGCAGAAGGGAGAGAGGAAGAGCGGGAGAGAGGAAGAGAAGGAGAGACATATATGTGAGGGAGACATACAGACAGGTTGACTTCTTCCTGCATGGGCCCCGTCTGGGGCCGGAGATCAAGCCTGCAACCAAGGCACATGCCCTTGACCAGGAATCGAATCTGTAACCTTCAGTGAGCAGGCCAACGCTCTAACCATTGAGCTCACTGGCCAGGGCCAGCCTTTACTTTATTCTCTTTCATTCCCTGACACTGGCTGAAGGGAACAAGCAAAAAGACTCCGGTAATAAGCCAGCCATTTTGCAACAGTTCCTGCAGACGGTTAAGTGCTGCTCTGCATTAAAACACGCTGCAGCATGCGCATGAGGCACAGAAAACGAAGCCACTGCGTTGGCCTCTGCTTATTCCCGGTCAGCACAGGACCGAGTCCGACTGCAGTGGCATTGCTGACAAAAATCGGGCAAGATAAACACTTTACAAACTATTTACAAATGTGTTTTTATTGGTTTCAAAGGGGAAGGGAGAAGGAAGATAGAAACATCAATGATGGGAGAGAATCACTGATCGGCTGCCTCCTGCATATCCTCCACATAAGGGATTGAACCCGCAAACTGGGCAGGTGCCCTGACCGGGAATCCAGCTGCAACCTCCTGGCTCATAGGTCTACGCTCAACCACTGAGTCATCCCAGCTGGGTGAGGTAAAGACTTTTTAAAATTAAATTTATTTTAATTCTGAATGCTGTTGTTCTTGTTTAAGCATATGTTTTTTGTGCAACTGTTTTTCTTTGTGTTGTTGTTTTTATTTCCCTGCTGAAATCTAATCATGTCTTCTAATCCATTGGCAGCCAACAAAAGAAAATAAATGATGAAGAAAATCAGAAGCAGCTTGGATAGTTGGTGTTTGTCTGCCTGTCTTTAATAAAAATGCTCTGCTATCTCAGAGAGGAGGCTAAATGGATCCAGTCAGTCAGGGGTGATGCAGGGGGGACTTCAATCTTGGGCTCCGTTGATCTCACACATGAGCCAACATATAGCTTCTGCTGGGACCCGGTGCACCTGCTGCTGAAAT